AAAAAAAAAAAAAAAAAAAAAAAAAAAACCTTTGAAACCTTTGAAGAAAGGGTATATACCCAACAACATTTAAAAACAAATTTTTTAATGTTTATTTATTTTTGAGAGAGAGAGACAGAGACAGAGCGTGAGCGGGGGAGGGGCAGAGAGAGGGAGACACAGAATCGGAAACGGGCTCCAGGCTCCGAGCCATCAGCACAGAGCCCGACGCAGGGCTCGAACTCACGGACGGTGAGATCATGGCCTGAGCCGAAGTCGGACACTTAATCGACTGAGCCACCCAGGCGCCCCCTATACCCAACCATCTATACAAATTTCTAGAAAATGCAATCTCATCTGAGGACAGACTAGAGCAGAGCATGGGGAGTGGAGGGGAAGGGTTTAGCAGCAACGAATACGTTCGTCATCTCGACCGCACGGATGGCCACACGAGCGTATCCACGCGTCAGAACCTATCCCATTGCACAGCGTGGACACGCTGACTTTGCCGGGCACAAATCCCACCTCAGTAAAGCTGCGGAGGAAGGACATGCACTGAGTGGAAGCAAACTGCTGGCCTGGGAGGGACACAAGGGGAGTTAGGAGCAGGGCCACTCACCGGAGGTCTGGCCGGAGGCGTATAGAGAAAGGACTCCCAGGTTGGCTAAGTACAGGGCGGGCACGTTGAAGGTCTCAAACAGGATCTGCGGAGAACAAGAACACTACCGTGCTAACGGCCAGGCCAGAGGCTGGAGGAGCGGGTGGGTCTCCCCTTAGCTCCCGGGCTCACAAAGCCCACCGGTAGGAGGCACTTGGCTGCCCCAGAGATCCAGGCAACGGGGTCAGGGAGCGTGCCACTCTTGACCCCAGCTCTGCCCTGATGAGCCCTGTGACACCGTTTCCCAGCCTGTGACACGGGCTCACGTCCTTCCCGGGGACCTTATGGCGGGGGGAGACCTTATAGACCGTCACAAGACTGATGTGAGGGCATCGCAACATCTTGCAGACCACCGTGTTATCCCCACGGGGATGGTGCTGACTTCCCAGCGCCACCATTGTTCTCTCCACGTCTTCGCCCTTTCTGCTCTTGGGGGGTAGGCGGACCTTACGCAAATCTCAACACTTTGACCTGGGATGGTCCGTTGTTTTATAATAATGGCGACAGCAAAAGCTCACCGTTGGCTTGGTCAAGAACGCTGTCCTGGGTACTGCCTGCACATAGGCATGAACAGGGGAGACACAGTCCTGATCCTGCTGCCCGCGGCATCCCCCCGGAGGTATGTGACACCGTCCTCTCCTGTCCACATGGGAGACCAGTGGACAAACATGTTAGGGAGCAGGTGTCAGGGGTGCGACATGAACCCGGGCTGCCAGACGCGAGGAGGTACTGCCTCTGTGACGCTGGCTGAGTGAGCGAGTGATTTTCCTGCAAGATGATGCCACAGGAATTTAAAGGTCCTTTTTTTAAGTTTATTTAGTCCGAGAGAGAGAGAGAGAGAGAGAAAGCATGAGTGGGGGAGGGGCAGAGAGCGAGGGAGAGAGAGAATCCCAAGCAGCCTCTGCACTGGCGGCTCAGAGCCCGACTCGAGGCTCAGACTCACGAGCTGCAAGATGGTGACCCGACCTGAAGTCAGATGCGTCCCCGACTGAGCCCCCCCCCCCCAGGCGCCTCAATTTAAAGATTCTTTTGAGGGTGGGACCAACGCGGGGTCACTCGGACGGTTGAAAGGCAGACTTTGTTGCAGCTCCAAACCAGCCTCCGCGGAGCCACGGGAGGGTGGCACCTGGGGGACAGGATGACAGCCAGCTGGAGCTGTCGGGGAGCACCTTGTGGGCGGCCGGCAGGGTGGTTAGCTGGCTTTGGAGGGAGCCCTGTGGGCTGGCTCCCTTGAACAATTTCACGGGCTCCTGGGCCTAGGGGCTGTCCCTAGCTGTGGGGACAAGCAGGGCAGGCGAGCAGTGGCCCTGAGCGGGACAGGACAATAAGGGAAATGGTCGGGGTGCAGGCTGCTTGAGGAGTGATCCGGCCGGCCTCTAGCCAAAGACCCCAAAACCCAGTAAAGCCAGCATTTGAGACAACGATGTTCCACAGAGCCGGGTCCACCACTGAGCGTGTGACTCCCCGGGGGGGGGTCACTAAGCATGCGTCTGGGGGCAGCCGCCCGGGGGGCTTAGGGGACTGACCCAAGAGAAGCGAAAACGTGTGTCCCTGCAAAGACTGGTTCACGCCTATTCGCACCGGCTTTACTCCCAATGGCCCCCAAGTGGAGGCCACCGGGATGTGCGTTTGTAACGCGGCATGTGGAAGGCCAGGCCCGGACACAGGCACCACCTCGGAGGACACAGGGCAGGGGGGCAGTGTCTGGGAGTCTGTGCTACTCTCTGGTGCCCCCGGAACTTGCATCCTGGTGGAGGAGTGGCGGGTGTGGACGGGCAGCTTTTGCGATCCCACTAGAGACCCCGCCCCCTAAAAGCACAAAGACAAAACCCAACCTCAGCTCCCCTGGCCTGAGGTGAGGCCGGAGGTCACAGAGCTTGGAAGGGTCTTTGGGTTCCTGCGATCAAAATCCCATTTTGCAGATGAGAATTCCGAGGCTGAGGAACAGGAAGCAGCATCTACTGAATGCTCAACAGCCACTGAGCCCCGTGACACGCATCTCCCGGCGTCGTGGATTCATTTCGTTTCCGCGATACCCCCAGGGTGACACCATCACCATCCTCCTGATGGGGAAATCAGGACACCTTGAGGAGGCGTATTCCTCCCCAGGTCACACGTGCTGGGAGAGCCCGGGCCGGAATCCGGGTCTCGAGGCCAAGCTGGGCTTTTCCCTACACGCCGGGCTGCTCCCGGCATCGGCCTCTCTGCTGGGCCATGGCCCCAGGCATCCTGCTCACACACAGACTGATTCCGGCAGAAGTCAGCCCGGCCCTTCTCAGTCTGTCCCAGCCTCCGGGAGGAGCCTGGGAGGCTGGCGTCGGGACAGAGGGACTCTGCAGGGAAGAGCCCACAGATGGGGAAAAGTCTATTTTTCCGCACGGCGGTGGGGTTCCCTGTGCCGGGGGGCGGGCCACCGTGGCTGGCTGCCCCCCGTCTTCCTGCAGAAGCTTCCATCCTTCTTGACCACTCTCTGCCCTGGACTGTAGCCACGGGCCCCCTTCTGTGGGCGACCCCCTGGGTTCCGCCCGTGGGGACCCTGGAGAGGGGTCTGAGGGAGCCTGGGAGGGGTGGAGTACAGCTATCCCCCTGCTCCTTCGTTGTTGGTCCCTCCGAGGCCGCGGCTCCTGGCAGAGGCCCTTTCAGGGCTACTAACCCCCGGGGCTCTGTTGGGCTTAGCAGGCAACAGCTTCCTGATACCAGCCCAGAGCTCTCGTTCACGTCCCTCTTCGAGAATTTAGGCTTGCCTTTGTATATAATCTCTTCAGTAAAGTCTCATCAAAATGACCCCGCGTGAGGGTCCCTTTGGTTTCCTGCTGGGACCCTGATATAATTAGGGGGTGAATTCAGAGAGACCCAGGGCAGGAAGACAGGCAGTGGACCCCGGAGAGGTGGACAAGTGCCGGAGACAGGCTGTGTGGCCGGCGCGGCGCTTTGTGTGAGGGCTAATTTTACGTGTCTGGGTTGCCTGGGCCACGGGGAGCCCAGACATTTGGCCAGTCATTATTCTGAGGTTGTCGAGGAGGATGTTTTTGGAGAACATTAGCATTGATATTGGCATTGGATAATAAACATTAACATAAATCGATGGATTGAGTAATGCCAATTACCCTCCCTGTGGTAGGTGGGCCTCGTCCAATCAGTTGAAGATCTGAATAGAGCAAACGGCTCCAGCCTGCTGACTCGCCCTGCAGATCCTGGCATTTGTCAGTCTCCATAATCGTGTGAACCAATGCCTCAAAACAGATCTCTTTCTACATATACACGTGTGTGTGTGTGTGTCTGCGTGTGTGTGTGTCCCACTCTTTCTCCAGAGAGCCCTGAGACAGTTTGGAAGCGGCACATCGCCCTCGGGTGAGGGACAGTCCTGCTTCCCTCTTCTCTCTCCAGCTCGCTGGGGCTCTGATGGGCACACGCTGCTCTCAGCCTGGATCCCTGCTGTTTCAAAGCCGTGGGCTCTGTGCCGTGTCCACGTGGAGACCAGCCGTGGCCCACTTCTGCGATCCACCTGTCCATGTGCAGAGGAAGATTCGTCGGCCCCCTCGGGGCTTTGTGTTAAACGAGGCGGCAGCTCACGCCCGTGCCGTGATTGATGGCGCTGTTTCTGGGCCACGGCACAGGCCTCCTCTATGGGCAGGTGGTGCTGGGGGCCGCTGGCCTGCCCTCGGGGCCGCTGGCCTGCCCTCCGGGTCACTGCTCACTGCAGGGGACACCATCGGGCTCGAGGGGCTGTGGGCCAGGTGGCAGAACCTTGCCGTTTCCTTAATTAGCTCCTGGACGTCCTCATTAGGCAAAGCCTCATGACGCATCTGGAAGAACCTGGCCAGCCAGCGGCGGCCCCACGGCCCCTCCCCACCTGGACCTCACTCCAGCCCTAAGAGGGCTCTGCTGGGGGGCACTCTCCTTCCTTCCCCGGCCCGTCCTTGACAGCCTCTGAGAACCAGCTCAACCCAGTTCAGCCTGGTCGATCCGATCCACACACACCACCAACTCCTTGCCGGGGGGCAGGCCCAGGGGGAAGGTGGGAGCTCTCAAGGCAGGTTGGAGCTCCAAGCAGGACAAACCGCACCAAGAGACCAAGGCCGCAGGGTCAGGCCTCGAGGGCCCAGCGGGCCTCCCAGCCACCTGCCCTGTCTACTTCCACCCCTAGACCCTCCGATTTCCTCCTCTGTGCAAAGGGACTGTAACTGCCCAGCCCATAGACTGGCTGCGAGGTCCAAATGCTCACCCGCTTGGTGACCCCTTGGTGAGCTCTCCCGTCAGGTGAGGCACCTGTCATGCCTGCCGCCAGGGTCAAAGGGGACAGATCTCTCCTGTGTCTTCATCTCGCTGAGCAAAGGGATGACGCCCTGAGGGGGTCCCCGAGGTTCCAGGCTCAAGGGGAGGCCAGAGCTGCCCTCCCCGTGGCCTGCTCCCTGACCCCACTCGCCCACCACGTGGCCCCTTACCTGTGACATCTTCTCTTTGTTGGACATTGTGTTTAAAGGCGGCTCCGTCACCATGAGAGGATGCTGCTCCGGGGCGACGCGGAGCGCCTGGTAGGAGTGATGCCATATCTGTGGAGAGAGCAGGAGACGCGGTGAGGCACGTCCGTGAGCCGCGGCCGACCTTCTGCAAGTGGGATGGAACCTGTCTACCCTGCAAAGTGGCTTCCGCAGTAGCTTATGTGATTCACAGCAGGAAGGACAGAGCGGCTGCAGACAAGACAAGACACAGAAGCTCCATGTGTGTGCCGGGCCTGGAGTCGGGACGGGGAGCAGACGACGATGTGTGAGGCCTAGTCCTCGTCTGACTGGGCAGCAGACATGGGCCCCGAGACACAGCGGGGGGAGCGTGGCACCAGGCGTGGGCCTAGAAAAGGAACTTGACTCTTATGTGCTGTTTCCTCGTCTATAAAATGGAAAACTTTCCCTTCCTTGGAGAGGGTCATGAGGACATCGTAGAGGGTCTGGCACAACGTTTGTAGAAAACCGAGCGTATTTGTTTCCTGTGGCCGCCGTAACAAAGACCACAGCCCAAGTGACTTAAACAACAGCCTCCCGGTCCTGGAGGCCGGAGCCCGAAGTCCAGGCGTGGGCAGGGCCGGGGCCTCCCAAGGCCTCTTTCCGTGTGTGTGGATGGCCATCCTCTCCCTGTGTCCTCACGGGGTTGTCCCTCTGTGAGTGTCTGTGTCTTGATCCCCTCTTCTTACAAGGACCCCGGTCACATGGGATCAGGGCCCACCCCAGTGACCCCTTTGAAGAAGCGGGGGAGAGGGAGACACAGAATCCGAAGCAGGCTCCAGGCTCCAAGCTGCTGGCACAGAGCCCGACGCGGGGCTCGAACCCACGAACCGCGAGATCATGGCCTGAGCTGAAGTTGAGTGCTTCACCAACTGAGCCACCCAGGCACCCCTTGGTCACCTCTTTAAATACCCCATCTCCAGATACGGTCATGTTCTGAGGTGCTCAGGGGCAGGACTCCAACATAAGAAACTGGGGGACACGACTCAAGCCACAGCACCTACCGAGTGCTTGGTGCACAGTAGGTGCTCAACAAGCAGTGAATAATGCTCCTGCCTGCCTCTGGGGAGGAGGCTCCATGGGGAACTGAAAACAGAAGTGAGGGGAAATTCAATGGAGGAAGGGTTTCAGGAAGGGGGGATGCGGAAACACACGGCAACATGGCGCCCATGAAACACAAAGGCCAGATGGGTGGGCTCGCAGCTGGATGTCCAGCCACTATGGACTGGAGCAGGGAAGTGACACGATCAGATGTAGAAGAGTCACTCGACAGGCTGTGTGGGGGTGAACGTGGGGGGGGGTGTGAGGTAGGAGGAGGGGTACCATGGGGGAGGATCGTTGCAATGATCCTGGTATTTGGACAAGTGTTGAACCAAGAATTGGAACCAGCTGAAGACACACCAGAAGTCGGCTCCACTGGGTCAGCCAGGCAGCTGAGCCTGCACCAGAGAGGGGAGGGGAGGGTGGAGGCTACGGCCCAGGCAGCCCGGGGCCCAGGGGCTGGTGGGCGGCACACTCCAAAGACCTGTCTACACCGCTTCAGTTTCTGTATTCCCTGTGACATCCTAACGGAGGGCTACAGCCAGAATCAGAGCCAACACTTCAGCCGTGTAGACAGGAAGTGTCTGTGAGCGACACTCCCACAACCCCTTCAAGACGACCCCAATGAACACACACCTCCTGACATCCACACCCTGTGCAGACCTTTCCCCCGCTGAACCAGGGCTGGCTCGTGCAACCCACAGAATATACCAACAGTGAAGGCGTGTGTGGCCCATAGGGCTACATCATAAAGCCATCGCAGCCTTCACGTTGGCCGCCTTGATTGTTTCCTCCAGGGGAAGTCAACCACCATGCTGGGAGGGCATTCCAGGGCGCCTGCAGAAAGTCCCCAAGAAGGACCACCTTGCCAGCCCCATGGAGCACCACCATGGACATGCCTGCTCCAGCCCCGGTCGAACCTTCAGACGATGCACCCCCAGCTGACTCCTGACTGCTGCTCCATGAGAGACCCCAAGCCAGAACCACCCAGCTGAGCCACTCCCAAACTCTTGACCCACAAAAACCGTGAGAGGAAGTAGATGGCCATCGGTGTTTTAAGCTTCTAAGTTTTGGGGTGATTTGTTATGCAGCGTAGATAATTAATAGATCTTCCTAGGCAGCGTGCAAACTTCAGCCATATATGGAGACCCTGATCAGAACCTTCGGTTGCTAAGACAGAGTGGTTCAAATAGCCGTATTGAATCCGTCTGTATTGCACTGACCTACGGAATTTTTTTCTTATGGTAAAACGTACATACTAATTCAACCTTTTTAAAAAGTGCACAGCTCGGTGGCAGTAAGTATATTCACACTGCTGTGCAACCTTGAACACCATCCGTCTCCAGAAATTTTTTACCGTCCTCAACCAGAACTCTGTCCCCGTTAAACACTAACTCCCCATTCCCCTTCCCCCAGCCCCCCGGTGCCCGCCGTCCACCTTTCTGTTTCCACGAATCTGACGACTAAGAGTCCTCGTATGGGTGGAATCACACAGTTTTTGTCTTTTTCTGCCTGGCTCATTTCACTCAGCCTCATGTCCTTAAGGTCCGGCCGGGTTGAAGCAGGTGTCGGAACATCCTTCGTTTTCAAGGCGGAGTGACAGTCCGTCACGTGTGCAGCACATTCTGTTTATCCATCCATCTGCCGATGGACACCTTGGCCGTAGTGAATGTGGGTGTGCAGATGTCTCTTCCTGCCCTTGTCTTCGATTCTTTCATGTTTTGGAACCTCCGTACCGCGATCCGAGTGGCTGCACCATTTTACGTTCCCACCAGCCCTGCGTGAGGTCCCAAGGCCAACGCTTGTCATCTCCCGTTTTTCTGCTTGTTGCTTTAAACAGGCGTGGAGTGGATTAAGGACTTTTTATCCATTTCCTCGAGTCCATACAACAGCACTACACGCAAGAAAAAAATTACACCCCTTTCTTACAGGTAAGGAAACAGAGGACCAGGGAGGCTGGTTACTCGTCCAAAATGACACAGATGGTAAGTCGTGGAGACAGGATTCAGGCTCGGGTCTCAGACCCCACGACCCGTGTGGTTCGTAGCGTGCTGTAGCGTCCACAGGGACCAGACAGAGGCCCAGAGAGGCCCGAATGCCAGGGCACCTCCCCCTCGCCAGTGCCAGGGAGCAGATATGCCCCCCGAATGTCAGTAGGGGCCCCGTGGACAGGTCCCACCCCAGCAGGAGCTGCAGCCTACCTTCTCCATGTTGGCCCAGTTCGTGACGGTTGCCCGGGAGATGGGATATTGTAGGCTAAGTTCCCCTCGCTTATGCTGAGCCTCGTCTCCGAGGAACCAGTCCTCCTCGCCCATCCCCACCAGCGGATTCTGAAAGACACAGGCCAGGACAGGTCAGCTCTCGAGGGTGACTCACCTCCACTCGGCTTCCACGTGCTGATGCACAAGGAGGAATGACGAGGAGCCGTGACGTGCAGCTGGGGGACCACTCCAGGTCACGGCGCTGGCAGTGGTGGCCTCCTCAAGCTTGTGTGCCATTTCAAGATGCCACTAAGACGTTTTAGCAAAATGACCTGCAAGGTCAAAGTGCCCCCAGGGGCGCCTGGGCGGCTCAGTCGGTGAAGCATCTGACTTCGGCTCAGGTCGTGATCTCACGGTTCGTGGGTTCGAGCCCCGCATCGGGCTCTGTGCTGACGGCTCGGAGCCTGGAGCCTGCTTTGGATTCTGTGTCTCCCTCTCTCTCTCTCTCTGCCCCACCCCTGCTCACGCTCTGTGTCTCTCTGTCTCTCGATAGTAAATAAACATTAAAAAAGAAAAGAAAAAAAAAGAAAAGTCGTTTAAAAAAAAGTGTTCTTGAGGACACTGGCCTTGTCCACTTTGCGGGTGGGAAACCCGAGGGGAACGGGGGTGGGGGGAGCCCTGGAGGAGGGCACGGTGTCGGGCAGGGGCACCAGCTGCTGCATTCACCCTGGAAACCCGCCGGGGGAAGGGTCTGCAGGCGAATTGAGTTTGTCATCCGTTAAGAAGACGGACCTAACTGCTTTTGTGGCAGGGCGAACCGTTTATTCCGTCATCCAGAAGGGATTTGCTGGTTGGTCCGTGTGTAAATCTGCATCTGCCAAAAAGCAGACACCAACACAGCACGAAAGGCGTGAGGGTCTCTCTAGGAACCCACCTACGTGAGAGAAGACGGGGGTGCCCGATCAGGCTGTGGTCCAAGCCCGAGCCTGGGTACAGGACGGAGGGCTGGATGGGTGTCCTGGAACGGCGGGTGGTCGGCGAGGCCACCGGGCAGCTCCTGAGCCGGTCGTCCGGGAAGGGAGGCGCGTGTTTCCCGAAACGGGTCTGTCTGGGGATCCCTGCCGTGCTCAGCAGTCTGTAGGAAGCGTGGCCTTGTTGTCACGCAGCCGTTGTGCCACGGGGATGCCGGGCCGCGGTGGCGGCGTGGATTTCAGAGAGGCCCACTCTTGAGGCTACCACGGCTCACGCGCGCAGAGCTCTTTTGCCTGAGGAATTTCTCTCTAGGCGGAGGGGTTTGGGCTGGGGGACAATCTGAGACCCTGGCAAGCCGCTCGCCTTCTCCGCGCCGCACCCCGTCCCCGTCAGATGGAACGTCTCCCATTCCGCCTTCCTTGCCGCGGCGCCGTCGGGGAGCAAGTCAGAGAGACCGCCGATGGGAACGCGCTTCATCACCCGAGGGGACACGCGGGTGTGGACAGTCCACGCTGCCCTGCCTCGGAAGCTCCTGGCTTGGCCAAACCTTCCCGAGCGAGGGGAGCGGGGCGAGGGATGCCTGCGGGGCGGGGACGAGCACATCACGGGGTCTGAAGCCGCTGCTTGAAATGCCCGGCTCGGGGCGCCTGGGTGGCGCAGTCGGTTAAGCGTCCGACTTCAGCCAGGTCACGATCTCGCAGTCCGGGAGTTCGAGCCCCGCGTCGGGCTCTGGGCTGATGGCTCAGAGCCTGGAGCCTGTTTCTGATTCTGTGTCTCCCTCTCTCTCTGCCCCTCCCCCGTTCATGCTTTGTCTCTCTCTGTCCCAAAAAAATAAATAAACGTTAAAAAAAAAAAATTAAAAAAAAAAAAAAAAAAAAGAAATGCCCGGCTGGACGGGGCTGGGGTCTCAGCGGCCGCTCCGGTGGCCGTGGACCGAGTGCCCCTCCGGGGCGCGGGGTCGGCTCGCCGCCAGACCCAAGAGCACAGAGGGGCCGCGGGGCTCGTATCTGGAGCGAAACGTGAGCCCATGCAGAGCATCCCGGCAGGTGCTGACTCCTCTTGGACAGAGAAGCGTCCCTCCTGCTGCCCGGGGCTGGCCCCGAGGGCGGGGAGGGCGGCGGCCCAGCGCCTCACCGAAACCGTGCTCCCGGCTCAGTTCCACCGTTTCCTGTAATTCATTATGGCCACTCGTCTCTATTTTGGCGAGGAATTTGACCTCTCTCCCTGTGATTTTTTTGCTTTATTGCGTATGTAAGTCGTTTTACCTACAATCCTGCTTCCCGCTGTCCCACTCTCTGCACAGCTAACAGGGATCTGTCCCTCCCCTGGGGCGGTGGGAGCTTTCACATTGCAGGACGAATTATTGCACCTGCTGGGACGACAGATGCCATGCCAAGGATTTCAAGACAGATTCTCGAAGGACTGGATGCGGGGCAACGGTTACGCAACGTTGGGAGTTTGAAAGAGCCGGCAGGGAACACGGAGGGAGCCCGGAGAGTACAGCCCCAGGGCCGCTGGTGGGCCGCGGGGAGCAGTGAGAGGGCAGGACACAGGGCAGAACAGGGCAGGAACACGGAAAGGAAGCCCCGCCTCCTCCCTCTACCTCCCAATCTGCCTCCACGGGGAGCCGGTGATAGGGGCGTCCCAGCCCAAGAACCGCACAGCAGGATGATGTCGGGGCCCCCGGACAATAGGCAGAACCCAGCTGTAGTGGGTAAGGGTGGCCCCCAAAAGATGTGTCCACATCTAAGCCCCGGAACCTATGTGGATGTGACTGTATTTGGAAGCGAGGTCTTTGCAGATGTGATTAGTTTAAGGGTATTGAGGGGCGCCTGGGAGGCTCAGTCGGTTGAGCGTCCGACTTCAGCTCAGGTCATGATCTCAGGATCTGTGAGTTCGAGCCCCGCGTCGGGCTCTGTGCTGACAGCTCGGAGCCTGGAGCCTGCTTCGGATTCTGTGTCTCCCTCTCTCTCTCTCTGCCCCTCCCTTACTCATGCTCTCCCTCTCTCTGTCTCTGAAAAACGAATAAACCTTAAAAAAATTTTTTTTTTTAAATTTAAAGATATTGAGGTGGGATCATCCTGGATTATTGGGGGACAGAGGGCTAAATCCAGTGACAAGTGTCCGTATAAGAGACAGAGCGGAGGCTGGAGGGGCATAGCCATGAGCCCAGGGGTGCCCGGAGCCCCGGCAGCTGGAGGAGAAGGAAGGATGGTCCCTCAGCACCGGCGGAGGGAGCTCAGCCCTGCTCACACCTGATTTAGGACCTCCGGCCTCCAGAGCTGGGACACAATAGGTCCGTGATCACCGGTCATGGGCGCCCCAAGCAGGACACTCACGTTCCTCACCGCCAGCACCCTGAGCATCATCTCCATCCCCCTTCCACACCGCGAGGGGCCAGACTCCGGGCCAGGCATTCGGGCACCGCCTCACTGAAGCTTCCCCCGGATGTGGCACGTGTGTGTTCGTTTACCCCGCCCTGTGCACGGGGAGTTGGACCCCCAAAGGCAACTTGCCCCCAGTGACGCAAGTGCGGAGGCAGGGCCGGCGTTCGGATGTGGGTCTCCTGACCCCGCAGCCCCCCACGCTTCACCGCTAAGCCCTGCGATCTCGAAAAAACGGGCCGGCCAGCCAGCGAGGGCGCAGGCACCTGCTGTGACCCACCTAGGGAAGGGCAGGGACTCTCTGGCTTTCTGCCCCCCAGCACGCCCCGGTAGGAAGGCCGGTCCTAAAATTCCAGCGGCCTGCTAGAAACATCGCCATTGATTTGCTCCAAGTGATGCAGAGCCCAGGCGTAATCACCCCGGGACCCGGACACGTGGGGCTCCCCACGTGACCAAGGTGCCCCCTCTCACGGATGGGTAGGCTTCCCAGCGAGGAGCGCAGTGACTCAGCACCGGGGCCTTGAAGGCAGGTGGTGGGGGGGTCCTGCCTCTACTGTTCGCTCACACAGGGACATGAGCACGTTTCCTCTCAGAGATGCCGGCCCCTCTTCAGGGAGAAGGGCCCCACGGCAACTCCCCGGTCGGGCCACCAGGCTCATGTCAACTCAGCGAGTTACAGTCATTATGTGAACTGAGCGTCTCACAGCTGCTTCGAGTGGGAGAAGTTCCAGGACGTGGCAGGGCCCTCGGTGGCGGGAGGGGGGCGGGGGTGGAGGGTGGAGTGGCCACCTTGCAAAGGACACGCAGGTCTGGCCCGCCGAGCTGGAGCACGTCCTATGTCCTATCCGCTGCCCCCGGGGAAGGTTCAGGAAGAGGTGCCTCCGGCCGGCACGTGACTTGTTTGGTCTGTGTGGGGTTTGCAGAAAAGTGAGTTCTCCTTGAGATCTCGACGCAAAAACCTGAATTTCTTACACACAAAATCAATCACCAGATGGACCAGCAAATCCAGTCCTGAGAACAGGCCCAGGGGAGCCAAACACAGCGCCTCAGACGCATCGCCCGCGCCCCCGGCAGCCCTGGGCACAATGACGGTCAGAGCAACTCACGTCGTGTCGAAGTTTCCCGAGGAGGGTGGGGAACACGGCCAGGGGGGTTTCCATGCCCGCAAAGCCCACCTTGCTGAAGCCCGAGCCGTAGTCGCAGACGAGGGGCACGTCCATCGTGTTGAGCGCGGCCTGGACGGGCTGCGGGAGACACGACAGGGTGATTCGAGTGTTTACAAGGCGCCCGACGGCGGGGCAGGTGCTGCATCAGGGTGGATGTGGGCTCTGAGCTCACGGCTGTGCAGTCGCCCCTCCCCCAGCCCGGAGTGGGCCCCCCACCCCGGGTCAAGTCACTGTCTAGGTGCTGAGGGCAGTTTCCGGAACTAGTGGGCTTTCAAAATTCTTTAATTTTTTTTAATGTTTATTTATTTTTGAGAGACAGAGAAAGAGAGCGCACGCACGAGCAGGGGAGGGGCAGAGAGAGAGGGAGATGCAGAATCTAAAGCGGGCTCCAGGCTCTGAGCCGTCAGCACAGAGCCCGATGCGGGGCTCGAACCGACAGACCGTGAGATCATGACCTGAGCTGAAGTGGGACGCTCAACTGACTGAGCCTCCCAGGCGCCCCTCAAAATATTTCTTAATGTTTTAGTTTTGAGAGAGAGAGAGAGAGAGAGAGAGCATGAACAGGGGAGGGTCA